ACGAACATAATTGCACATCCTGACAGCAGTATTATCCAAGTTAGTCTAAATGGAACAGCTTTTAATTTATGGTACTCATTTCCCTGAAATTATACAAATTTCACCTATACATGAAGTTTGGCGCCTGGCCGAGCATTGGAATTCCGTGACTGGAAGTTTTGTAGCAGAATTCCTTCAAATGCCAGCGGATTCGTTCTCTAAAGGTAATTTTTTTATATTGTCAACACTTTTCCTTATCAGTACTGCAACTAACTTATAGCTCAATCTAGTTGGATCGATTTCATGTCCACCATCTTCGGTGAGTAAGTCGCACTGAAATTAGAGCGGAATGATGGTTTTCTCATTGAACCCCTCACTTACTTGAATTTCCTTGTCGTTGTCATTACTGCTTTCGCCATAGATATAATTTGTCATAATTTCCGTTGCCTTGAGAAAGTCCGTGTCTGAAGCTAAGTAGTTGCCATAATACGATGACAGATCGTTCCACTTTTCTTCCTTGTTTGAAACTTTAGCCATAGGTCCTTAAAAACAATGTTAATCAATAGAAGTAAGGAGAGAAAGAAAGCGGGAGAAAGAATATGTACCGTTATCATTCATTTTTGGTGATGTGAAGTGGTAAAGAAAGGGATGGAATGCTGTTCAGCTCATTAACTTTGATGGCGTCGATCCTCGCCATGGTTATCCATGCATTTCTTATGAACTGAAAGAAGACAATCGTCTGATGCATGGATACAAAGGATGCAGAAGTACTTACAAGATAGAACACTATAAATGTGACTAGCAATGTGACGTTTGTAGAAGCTGGTTACAAATAGCAGCAAAGTAACATATGTTACAATGCACTTATGTTTCGAGCATAATTTACAGGAAATCAACTCTACTAGATCTTCTGCAAAAAGTCTAAGAGTAAAAATTTGGTTGCACCATCTGTTAATCTTTTGTGCATCGTTCCTACTAAATAATACTAATTTCTCACTTTCTCACAAATGTGGTAAATCTCTACATCCAAGATGCTCAATTTTAAGACTATTAACTTGATTTAAATTAAACACCA